TTTTTTTTTTTTTTTTTTTTTGATAACCTAACCAAACAAACATCCTTATTAGGAGAATCAGTTAAAAAGTGCCTCTATGTACTTCATATGCCACAGCAACTCCTTTGACATCCCTCTTTTTTAACCAATTCTTTCCTTTCGTCAACAGGATAGCAGCCAAGGAATCCGTGAATCTTATGTCAACACAAAGCTTAGGAATTGTGTTTGGACCAACACTCCTTAGACCTGAAAAGGAGACAGGGAACATGGCAGTCCACATGCTGTACCAAAATCAGATAGTTGAACTTATGTTGAGTGAGTACAGCAAGATCTTCGGCTCTGAGGAAGACTGACAGACAGGGCCTGTTATTGAAAACGTTCACATCTGTCTTGATGTCTAATATTTTTACATTTCTGTAAACATATTTCTGAAATATTTCTTTTTCTTTCAAGTGACAGATGCCTCATTTTGTGAAAACTTAATGATGATTTTGTGTTTAATTTTCAAACATTGGAATAAAAAATATTGTCAACATTTGCCTATATGTATTCTGCATTAACCCTTTGAGAGTTTCATTATGCTAGCACTCCAAGTGTCACTTTCTTTGCAAGCTGAGCATACAGCATATGGCCAAAGACCATAGAAAATGCTGTTTACCAACATATGCAATGGCACAGAAAGACAAATAATAATTGAGGAGATTTGTGGAAAACGGATTAAAATATGTAGATTTGTGGAAAATGGATTAAAATATGTATATTAAAAGCAATGAATTAAAACAGTGATATCAGATTATTTGTACCTAATCTGAGTACAATTTACCTTTCTCTTTGATATTTATTAAAAGTTAAAGACATGATGAATAATCAATTTGCCTACTCCAGGAGTTCAAAAAAAAGATTACATTTAATATTTTTAAACACATAAAAAACCCCCAACAAAAACAAAAAAAAAAAACCCACGCAACAAACCAGAATGTCACTATTTGCATAACAGTGCCTAAAAAAAAAAAAAAAAAAAATTAAATTGGAATTTTGGCATTTTTACTTAAACGCAGTACATGAAATGAAGACATTGCATGACTGCTCATTTTAATGTAACATCCATTTTGATTCTTCATCACACTGTACATCTGCCTGCTTTCCCCAGCTATCTCATGTTCTGTAGCATTTGTATTGTGCTCCTGAGGATGCTTTATTGGTGAACTACATTAAATTCATCTAGAAAGAACTTTAAAAAAAAAGCCTTTTCATATGCCCTTAGGATTACTTGGCTAGACTTGAATCAATTTATGCATTTGATGGTTAGTTTCAGTTGTCATGGATAAACAAAAGGGTAACTGTCTAGAATATATCAAATATTGTTTCATTTTGAAATGTATGTTTCCAGCTATACACATCTCCTACTCTATTTTGTAAAAGTATTCTGCTGATAAAATGTAGACTTATGTTTGACAGCTTTTTAATCAAGTTCAAAGAGAATAAATAAAACTAATCCAGTGTGGTAAAGAGTCTGCCTGGTTATCGATTTGTTCATAAAATGAAAAATAAACCATGTAAATAAGATGTGTGAAACACAGATCTAGAAGCAAATATTTAAAGCAATTAAAGACCCCAAAACATAGGATTAATGCATAGGTCTGCTGTGCATGAGAGATATGTCTTCAATATCACCTCAGCAGATCATGGATTACTTCAGTTTTTACTTAGCATCATTTTGAAAAATACCACGTTATTCAGGAAAGGTTGTTCTTCAGAGCAGTCATTTATGGAAACAAACTTATAATGAGACCTGATAGTTAAATAAGACTAGGTTCTTTCATCAGGTACTAACATAGGCAGAAAATAACACCGAGAAAAGAAAAATTGTCCCCAAGATGTTTCTGACTTCAAACATGTCTAAAAAACTCAAGCAAGACAGAGGGGTAGTGACCAGTAATTTAAATTAAAACACAAAACCAAAAAAAAAAACACCAACATCTCCTCCATATCACAAATATTCAATATAATAATTTCTGAAAAAAACCCCAAAACTATAATGTTCTGGAGAACCCAAATTCACTTTGCTTTCAAGAAAATATTTTTCATGTTAATGTCAAGCCATGAGTACTTAAACAGTAATGCTTTTCAGCATCATCGTCTTTAGACTCTTTTAATAGCAACAAACCAGGCGCTGTTTATAGTCTGTGGAAATGACTGGAAGAAAGATAGTCAGAAGTTCAGTCTATTCCTTAATAAAGACCATTCACATTATGGCCCCACGGGTGCTCACAATCATGCTATTGAAGTAATTTCTGCTATTACTGGAAATGAAAAGTTCACTTGTTACTTGGATCCTGTTACACTCAGAAGTAAAGATTCTTAATTAATTAATTAATCTTCTCTTAAGCTTTCTTTGGAGCATGGAGACTCCTCTTTTCTAGTTTTTATAAGCAAGACAAGGCTTATGAAATGAACCCATATCTTTAAGATCTACTGATTTGGTTGGAGGGGGGGGAAAAAAAAAAAAAAAAAAAATCGAGCAAACTTCTGGACACATAAGCCTTTCTTTGGTTTTGAAGGGTTCTTTACATGAACGCTGTGCAAATGTGCTGACTTCTCTACTAAACACTTTGTTAAAGATAGAAGCCTGATACGTGGGTAGCCAAATCTGGGAGGACACAAGTGGCTCTCATCAGAGGAGTGTATACATCCGGCGCGTATAGCAGATGTCTATTCTTTCTCATCCTGACAACAGAAAGGAATAACCGTGCCTTGCTACCAAGCTGCTCCCTTCCCCAAGGGACCAGTCTTCTCCCTGTCTCCATTAATACCTACATAATTCAGTGGGAAAAATTAGACTCAATCCTTAGTCAAAGAGCCAGCACCACAGCCCCTGCCATCAGCCCCTCAGGGCAGAAAGCAGCCAGACAAAAGATGGTAAAAGTAAAAAAAAAAAAAAAAAAAATCTGCAGTGGGGTTTCTTTTTCCTCCTGCTCAGGTAGTTTTAACCAAGCTCACAGCCCAGGGCTCTGACAGACACTCTTTTGTTGCTGGACACATACATTTCTAAATCCCCAAAGTGTCTAAGTTTGGCCTTTGTCCAGCGTGAGCAACTCGCTGGGCCTTTATCACCATGTTACTTCTCCAGTTGCTACTCATAAGAATATTCACTATGACTTGGTAAAAAAGTTTTACTCAAACTTTGCTAAATTTTTACCAAGTCAAATTTAGACTTGCAGAAGACCTTGTTTTCAGGAATTAGGTTCAGTTTGAGAAAGACCACAGATACTTTAAGCCAGGAGCTATCACTACGAATGCTAAACGATCAGAAAAATGAAGGCTGAGAATGTGTTTATCAGCATCTTCTCCCTATACGAGTATCTTCTACTCCAACTCGTGTGAGAAGACAGCTGTCCTAGTAACTGGGATTAATACAGTACAAGCAGACATCAGAAAGAGACTTGTAATGGAACAGAAAAGGGCATTTCTAGCCAGAAGTATTTCTCATTAAAATAAAAATTAAAAACCAGTTTACTGAATCTTAAACATTTACAATAAAAATTGTCCATTTTTAACTCAAGAAATTCAACTGCAAAATAGAATTTCTGAACAAACAAGGAGAATGACAGACTGACTTGCTGAGCTACAGCCAGAAGAGGACACGTAAACTGCCCTGAAGATATTTTCATCCCTCTTTTTATTTACATATATATACATTTATATGAAGAGAACATGCATTTTAATAGTTTTTTTATTCTCTGCTAGGACAGCTACAGTGCAGGTAAGATTCAGCCTGGTTTTGTAAGCACCCCATGTTGCGACAGAGCCAAAGACTGCCATTCAGCCCAAGGCACTCAAGAAGTTCAACTAATCGATTGCTATATAGCATATAGACCATGGGTAGACTTTGGAAGAAAGCTGGAAAGTAAGTTGTGACCACAATCACCAGTGTAATCAGGCAGCGTATAGATTTTACATGGCTAATTCTCAGAAGAGGCTGAAAGACAAGCCTCGGGGAATGCACGTATTATCACTGCACAGCAGGTTCCCCTGCATTGCGCTCCTGATTTGAAAAGGAAACACGGAGCATAAGGAAGCTGAGCATAATCGCAGACACAGGTCTCTCACAGTCACAGGTCCTGATTTTTGTAGGATGCAAAAAGTGGCCCAGGGCAACGCTCGGTTTGCAGAGCATTGGAACCTGCCCTAGCGCTCACTTTGGATTAGAAAACACAACCGTTCCCTAAGGACGAAGGGCAACACGTGAGAAAAGTCTCCAGCAAGTGGGTGATACGCAAACCCTTCGCTGCTCAAGTCCTACAGCCCTTGCTTTGGTCAGTAGGCTTCACGGAGAGAATGCTTGCAGGATGCTACTAAAGCAGCAGTCTCCTCCTCGTGCCAATTAAACCATGTGTTATCACAGCAAATGAACATACTCTACCATTACTTATACATCTCATGCTATTTTTACACTCAGTAATTGCATACCACCAAACATACCTGAAACACTATGAGAATTAACGCCCATTTTTCCTTACAGATCCTTGTTATAAAGGTCTGGTTGCACGCTGGATACAAAACATGAGTTGTTCCCACAAAAAAAAAAAAAAACCCACCACACAGACTGAAGTTAAAAAGACCTGTGCTTAAAACCCAAGACATGAGCAATTGGGATGCAATAGGACTGCACATCAGTGGTGGTAGGAACTAAGGCACAGAGCCAGCCCTGACAAAAGATAACGCTATAATTTAATGCTCATTTTATTCACACCTATTCTTTTTTTTTTTTCTTTTTTTTTTTTTTTTAATTTAAACTTTATATTCTACACCTTTACTTTCTCTGAATTCACCTATATAATCTGGTAGTTGGGTCGCTGCAGGTGCTTAACCCCGCTGATCCCTGCAACTCAAGGGAGAGGTAACCTCAAAGGAAATAAGAACAAGTAGAAATTTGCCTTCCAAGCTCTTAACTATGGCGAAGTTTGCTTGCTTCCTGAAGTTTAGACCCTCAGAAGTACTTCAGAAGTGCAGGGAACCCACCACCCCACAGCAAAACAGCTTCTCCAAGCACCTCCAAAAGGCTTTGCGCCCACTATAAAACCTGGGGCAACACCTTGCACCTTCAGTAGAAGCTGACAGCTTTGTTTAATAAGTTTAAGAGGGACCATAAAACACTGCAAGTTCAGAATGCACGCCAATGAATTAGCCACAAAACACCACCATTTTAGTGCACGCATCAGCTAATAAAAGGCAGACTCATAAATTTCACGTGATTCTCCTCCATCTGTGTCAAAATACAATTCCTAGGCTCAGGTCCTATCCACACCTTTCTCGGCTGCATGTCTGGGAGGTAAAAGGAGTGACTATCTCCCCACCTGTGATTTCTATATCGCCCTGGAGCTCAGAAGTTTTTGGAACGCTTTCTGGTTGCATTTTTGGGTAGGTGGAGGTGTGCCTTCTGCTCTGGAATGTGTGAGCGATCGTATTGAAAGCATTTTGACTGGTCCGTTGCTCATCCTCCAGCCCACCCACTGCAGGGAAGAAGGTACAAGCAGTCCAATCTTTACATCTAGCTTTCCCACAGGGGTTGTTTGTTCGCAGCCCCAGGCAGCAAAAGGTTTTAAGTAAATGGCTGAACACCCTGTACACATTTCTATCTTTATGTCGTTTCTGTCACTTATTATCCATTTTTAATCCTGCTGGGCTCTTTGTCTTAATAGTATCTGATGAATTTCCCAGGTTAATTACACACCATGTAAGAAAATATTTTACTTGTATCACTTTTAAATTCATTAGCTTTTAGTATTATTGTATAGCACTCCACTTGCTCTTGATTTATGGGAAAGGCTAAATAGGATTGTCTGACTGACCTCTTCTGGCAATTCACTCTCCTATATACCACTAACATATCACCTCCCATTTGTCTCTTAATCAATTTAACCTTCCCTCGTATGGAAGATCTGCCACACCTCTTATAACTGGCTCTGTCTTTCACTGGACGCTCCGTGTATCTGTTCCGCCCTTTTGAACAAACCCCCTAAGTATTCAAGGTGAAAGGATCCTTAATATTTTCATGATTGATCTCTTTTCAAATCTTAAAAGAATCAAGTAGCTCGTTGGTATCTGATTGTTCCTCTGCACTGAAGAACTGATCTGTCCTTAGTGGTCCCCATGGACCAGATTCAGGGAATTTGGGGAATTAAATGCTATTTCTGGTCCATACAGAGAACATAGCAGTGCTGCTGGTTTGTCTCTGGTGGCTATCTCACCTTGCAACTACCCAAATTTGCATCAGCAGCTTCAGCCACACAATGTTGGCAGACGGAGAGAAGGCAGGGTGGGAAGAGACTTTATATATATATATTTATTTATTTATAAATATAACAACAGCGATAACCACATGCACACCATATACTCTGCATCAATCTCTAGCGTATCCAGCCTAGGAAAGCAAAACTACCTGTATGTGTGCACCATAGCCCTTTCCAATGGACACAGTTCTGTAGGGCCTATGGTTAATGGCAGTT